GTCGAAAAAAGAAAACAGACAACCCAAAGGAGGAGGACAGGGTGGTCCCCACCTGCACGACCACGAGCAGGATTTTGCATGGATGCCAAGTGCGCTATACTTTATTTTTTCTTCCGCCAGATGCGGTTGATTCGGCTGAGGGAAGGCGGGCAAGTGCAGCGCGGACGCCGTTTTTCTTCTTCGCTAGGAGGAGGCCGAGGAGGAGGGGGAGGAGGGGGAGGAGGAGGATGCCCCCAAGGGAAAGCTCCAGCAGCTGGATGGCGATTACCGCTTTGCGCGGGAGCAGGATTGCGATCTACGTTTGTTTGATTTTGAGGCTTTCGGAGGCTTTGGAAAGGAGGTTCGCAGCACCCTGAGGGAGGCGGCGAACCAGCTGAGCAACAAACTTTCGCACGCTCAGCACCTGGACGAGGTCACATGGACCACCAAGAACTGGCACGGGCTGCAGATGCAGCGCTTGTCTGTCGTCCTCCACACCGCCGTGGCGTGGCAGACGGTGAACGAGCTAGCGTGCGGGGAGAGCGGCATTGTGCATGGTGCGGAGTGCATTGCCGTTCTTAACGGAGTCGCTTAGGCGGCTCCGGTGGTGAGCCGGTGTGTGTGCCAGTCCGCGCCAGTCCGCGCCCTTGTCGTGCCAGTGTGCTGTCTCTCTCTCTCTCTCTCTCTCTCAGTGTGCTGTGAGAGAGGCTTGTATTTTAACAAGCCATGTGTGTGTGTATATGAGCGGCGCCAGCACTGTCGTGCCCGCCGAGCTTCGCCAGGGCAACCTGGGCTCGCTGCGCGCCCTCCTCGCCGGGCGGACGCGCGGCCCAGCGCTCACGGCCGAGCTCGACGCGCGCCTCGAGGCCGCAAACCAGCACACGCTGCTGATTATCGCCGCTGAGCGCGGGCAGGCCGACGCGGTGCGGCTGCTGCTCAAGAGCGGCGCGAGTGTGGGGGCGACGACCGGCGACGGCTGCTCCGCACTGATCATGGCGTGCCAGAGGGGCCAGCTCGAGTGCGCCCAGCTGCTTCTCGAGGCCAGCGCGGCGGTCAACCAAGCCAAGACGGATGGCGCCACGCCGCTGTTCATGGCGTGCCAGCAGGGCGAGCTCGAGTGCGTGCGGCTGCTTCTCGGCGCCGATGCTGGTGTCAACCAAGCCCTGAAGGACGGCGCCACGCCGCTGTTCATCGCGTGCCAGAAGGGCCAGCTCGAGTGCGTCCGGCTGCTGCTCGGCGCAAGCGCGGTGGTCGACCAAGCCAAGGAGAGTGGCGCCACGCCGCTGCTCATCGCGTGCCAGCACGGCCAGCTCGAGTGCGCCCGGCTGCTCCTCGAGGCCAGAGCGGCGGTCAACCATACCAAGGCGGACGGCACCACGCCGCTGTTCACGGCGTGCCAGGAGGGCCAGCTCGAGTGCGTCCGGCTGCTGCTCGGCGCAAGCGCGGTGGTCGACCAAGCCAAGGAGAGTGGCGCCACGCCGCTGTTCATGGCGTGCCAGAAGGGCCAGCTAGAGTGCGTGCGGCTGCTTCTAAGCGCAAGCGCGGCGATCAACCAAGCCAAGAACGACGGCGCCACGCCGCTGTACGTCGCGTGCCAGCAGGGCGAGCTCGAGTGCGTGCGGCTGCTCCTCGCTGCCAACGCGGCGGTCAACCAAGTCAGGGACGGCGGCCGCCGCTGTACAAGGCGTGCCATAAGGGCCACCTCGACATCGCACGGCTGCTCCTCGAGGCTAGCGCTGCGGTCGACCAAGCCTCAGGCCGCGGCTGGACGCCCCTGCACGCTGCGTGCCTGGAGGGCCACTCCGCCGTCGTGCTCAGCCTGCTGCGGGCGGGCGCAGACACGGCGGCGCGCACCTCGGGTGGGCATACGGCGCTGCAGCTGGCCAAGGAGAAGGGCCACACCGAGTGCGAGCGCGCCTTTGAGGCGGCGGCGAGGGAGGCGAAGAGAGCGGAGATTGAGGCGAAGGTGGAGAGGGCAGTGGCCGAGAGGGCGGCGGCCGAGAGGGTGGAGGCCGAGAGGGCGGCCGAGGAGGCTGCGGCGGCGCTGCTGGCGGAGGAGGAGTCGGAGAAGTGCGCCGAGGACAAGAAGAAGGCCAAGAAGAGGGGCAAGAAGAAGAAGCAGGGCGGCATGGGTAGCGTTGGGCCGTCGCAAGAGGCCGAGGCGCCGGCGGAAGAGGGGGAAGAGGAGGAGGTGGTGGCGGCGGCGGAGGAGGCGGAGCTTGCGGCGGCGCTTGAGGAGAGGCGCGCGCGCGACAAGCTCAAGGAGGCGCGGAAGCGGGACAGCCAGCGGCTGCGCAAGGCGCATGGCGCGGCGATGGGCGCGCTCAAGTCGCTCAACACCGCGGACAGCCCCTCCGCGCTCCGAGCGGGCATCGCCGCCGCCAGGCCGCACGTGGGAGTGCTGCCTGCCTTGGCCGAGGAGGTGAGCGCGGCGGAGTCGCGGCTGGAAGAGCTGTCTGTCACCGAGCCGGAGGCGGTTGTTGCTCGGCCCGTCGAGATAGCCCTGTCGGACCTCGCCGCGGCTACGGACGGGTTTGCAGAGGGCAAGCTGATTGGCAGCGGCGGCTTCAGCCACGTCTACGAGGCGTCGGCCGACCTCCACCTCTCCCTCGCCGCGCCTCCACAGTTGCGCCACTTGCCGCTCGTCGTCAAGCGGGCAAAGTCGGGCCAGTCGGGCGGCTTGTCGCGGGCAGAGCTCGAGGTGAAGCTGCTCAAGGCGGTGAGCCACCCGCACCCGCTGCCGCTGCTCGGCTACTGCCTCTCGCCCGACGGCGTCTGCCTCCTCTCGCCGCTGATGCGCGGCGGCTCGCTCGAGGCGCGGCTGCGTATCTCGGATCCCGACTGCGCGGCGCAGCTCCGGCGGTTGGGCATGGCGGAGCCGCCGAGGCCGCTGACGTGGCGGCAGCGCGTGCGTGTCGCGTGCGAGGCGACCGAGGCGCTCGTCTACCTCCACTCGAAGGGCATCGTGCACCGCGACGTCAAGCCAGACAACATCCTGCTCGACGAGAAGCTGACCGCCGTGCTCGCCGACACGGGCTTTGCCAAGGACCAGCGCCCGGACGCGTCTGTCCGCTGCCGCTCGACTGCCGCCCTTTACATGACCACGGGCTACCTCTGCCCCTCCATCATCAAGGGGGGCGAGTACTCGAGCAAGACGGACGGCTACGCCGTTGGCATCACCCTCCTCGTCTGCCTCACCAACCGTTCAGAGGTGCAGCTCACCGACCGGTGCGAGGACGAGTTCGAGGAGGACTGGACCGACATCGACGTGACGAGGATCGCAGACGCGGCGGCGGGGTGGCCTGAGACTGCGGCGCGCGCTGTCAAGGACCTCGCCAAGGCGGACGGGAAGAGCCTCTGCCACGACAGCCTGCGCAAGCGGCCCACGCTGCCCGAGGCTCTCGCGACTTTGCAGGCGCTGCTCTCTGGCTCGCAGCGCGGGGCGGGGATGGAGGAGGCTGCGCCGGCACTTGGAGACGAGGCCGCCACCGCCGCCCGCACCACCGGCTACGAGCCTTCGCCGCTCTCGGTGCAGGTGCGCGGCATGCGCACGTCCGGCGACGCGCAGGCGCGCATCCAGGACAACATGATGCTCGCCTTCAAGACGCTGATGCCGCGCCTCGACGCCGTGTACGCCTCGCGCTCCGCGGCGGCGCCCGACGGCTTCGAGGAGCGCATCAACTTTTGGCACCGCGAGTGCGGCCTGCCGACCGAGCTGCGGAGGCAGCTGCACTCGCTGCGCATCTGGGCGAACGCGGCGAGGCACCACGACGCGGCGAGGTGGAGGAGGGACGGGCCGCGCAGCGAGGGGGAGGCTTCGCGGCTCGTGGCCGCGGTGACGGAGGCGATCGGGGCGCTCGAGGGGTGAAAATACGTTACGGTTGACTCTCGCATGCGACACTTTGCGGTAGAGGGGCTCGCGGCCGCACGCCCCTTCTCCCCCTTGAGGTACCCGGGTGGTGTACCTGTGTTAGTGCCAGTGCGCGCCAGTCGCCAGTGAAAGAAAGAAAGAAATCTAAAAAACAGACGACCAAGGGAGGGATGAGGGATGGGGAGCGGACAGTGTGGTGAGACACATATGGGAGGACAGTGCCCAGCGCCATCCGATACCTAAATTTCTCTCTCGCAAAGTCCGCCCCCACGACTCAGATTCCCTCACGCTCAGATTCCTTCACGCTCAGATTCCGTGGCAAGGGGGTGCCGAGGTATGCCACAGGCCGGGATGGAGTGAGATCTTGCGGGGCAGGGCGTGGGCTAGCGCGTGAGGGCGCAGGCAAGTGCCCGAGGGTATGGGGTTGGGCGCCACCCTGGGGCTACCCGTAGCATTGTCGGCTCAGTGATGGGTATCCCAGGGACGCCGGCAAGAAACCCACGGGCAGTCTGCACAAAGTCCGCCAGAATTTGGGTTGCTCCTGGCCGATGTCCTGGCTGTCGCCCTTCAGTGCCAACGCGACGGCACCGGTGCTGCAGGAGTGGCCTGGGTCGCACACCTGCCGCCCGCGCTTCATGGTGGTCGGAGCGCCAAAGTGCGGCTCCACGTCGCTCTTCCGGTACCTCGAGGCGCACCCCGACGTGCAGCAGCCGGCGACCAAGGAGCTGTGCTACTTTTCGCGCTTCAAGCGGTACCTGACGCACTACCGCACCGGCCCTGCCACGTCCTGGCCACACTACCTCGCCGCGCTCGCCGGCGTCGCGCTGCCTCGCGGCCGCGGCCGCGCCGGCA